TAAATGCCGACAATATTATAGCAATGATGCGCACTAAATCGATATCTACTTCTAAAGTTTCTGTAAATAATTGTGGATTTTTAAAGCAGACCCTTGCAACATTGTCCGTATTTGTTGTTCCGTGTCTTTGCAAAATTTGGTCTCCTCTGACCCCAATTTTGTCATATATATTTTTTTGTATAAATTTCTTTCTTTCTTCAAATTACTCTTAAAAAATAGATACTGAATTAATACCTTAACCAGCAATAATGTTGCATGTCATAATTAATAGAAAGTCATCTGTTAAAGGAACTAAAAATAGGGAACTTTGAAGTTCATAGTAAAGTTAATTTATATGAACTAAAGCTAAAAAATTCTGCATTTCACCCTACACCTTACATATTTCCGTATATCCCACTTTTTTAATGTCAGGTAATACGAAATATGAATCAAATGCTTTTATTTCCTCATGTAAAAGGCCTAAGCCAAGTTTAAGCGATGACTTTCTTGGAGCGAAATCATCTTCCAAGTTACTGAAGTTGTGTGCTGTTCGAAGGCACATGGGACATCTGCTTGCAGTGTTACGAACTATTGTATTGATGCATTTTCCATCAAATAATGTTTGTGAAACATTACATTTCACTTTAGCTAATTTTCTATTTGCCCTCCTAAACCTGTGTAGAACAGGACCTCCCATTTCATTATTTAAGCGAGTATGTCACGAATAATCGCTAGACCGTCTTCTTTCTCAACAGATATCCACAGAGGCTGACAGAATCGAACACTTTGTAGTGTCGGATTCACCCAAGAACGTCCACTCAAATTTCGTAGAGATATAATTATCATGCTGCTTACAAACAGAGATTGCTGCGCATTAAAACTTTCATTCTGCATATTTTACTATGGTTGGTGTGGATTCGTGTGATCCGATGAACTGTCAAATCTTGAAGTCACAATCAGTTCTAAATGAAGATTTTCCCATTCCAAAGCAACAGCGTCCCACAAACGTTTTGGATTTTGATTTAGAATATCTTGTAAAGGAATAAGTATTTCGGTTTCAGATAATTTATAATTTTCTGGTTGGCATTCAATCATGGCTTGCTTTAAACAGTCATACGACGAGTAAATTGAAATGTTCTTTGAACCCATATCTTTTACCAGTGCTGTATATTTTGATTTACTATAATCATTTTCTAAATAAAATACCAAAGCTGAATCATTTATGTGTTTTAATCCGTTATTTTCTTCGGTAGAATTTACTTCTTTACTATTCAAACGATTGTGGTGGATTTTCATTGCTAATTCAATAATGGCAATGTTGTAATCTTTATGTTGCAACAGTTCATTGGTTCGCCTGTACATAATTCTTTTTGAAACTTTTTCGCCGGATATACGGAATCTACCAGTATTTTCACATTTTTAAGTTTTCTTTTGTGGACGACCGCATTGATTAATATTCCTTTTTGAACCATGTTCGTTGTTATCCATCCTAAAATTATATTTAAGTAATACATATACAACAAAATAAATATAAAAAGTATATGTTTATTGGTTTTATAAGATGTGTATCACACTTACATAACTGTGTCTCTAACCTTTAAAAATAATGAGCAGCGAGCGAAAGTCTAAAAAACCCACACTACTTTTCTTAGATTTAACCTAAACAAAATTGCTTTGTGAAAGAAAGTTTGACAATATTTGTATATATTATGTTTTGTAGAAAGATAATATACAATTTCACTTTATATTTCTTAACACTAAACGTACCAGTATTTTACCCAGACACATTCTTACCATAAAAGGGTCATTCTACCCCTTATGAAATAAACGTTGATTCTTGGAAACAAATTCTTAATTTATTAAAAAAATTGTTTTTTTTTTTGTAACATCTGATCTTTACTCTATGACTCTCAATATACAGGACTGTATTTTTAGTTCGTTTAGCTATAGCGAACTCATATGGACCCGATCGGATCCAGTCAGATGAACGGGAAAACTTCCGCTCGGGTGCGTAGCGAAGCCACGAGTGGTGCAAAATAAACTTTTAAAAACACCAGCAGCAGCATCAGCACCAGCATTTCTATACTCTAATCATTCCGTTGAAAGAAATAACAATAAATGTACGATTTTAAAGTAAATTTTGAAAATGGTCATTTGACACCGCTTGATACGTTTATTGCTAATATCCGCTCGTAATACGGAAATAATATAGAATTTTTAAGATGTACTTACATGGAACTTGTAATTTCACTGTGATTTAACACTGGGTCCGAAAGCACTATTTCCACAGATATATTAATGCCGTGAAACCGAGTTGACTTAAACTTTTTCGTCTTTTTCGTTAAGCGAAGCATATTTTGGAGGAGTATGAAATCGATTAGGCGTAGGATATCAGCGACCCTTAGCGAAGTCTTTTTTATTTGGTTACCTGGTTACAACATGTTGTTGCCTTCTGTTGGTTTCTTCTGATCGAGACAATTTTCCAAACTACGGTCGTTTGTTATTCTCTCCAGATAAAAAATGAAGTATTAATACTAGCGCTTCGATTGCTAGTGTCACGTCCCGGATTTCAGATTTGAAAATCTGTCGCCCGTTTCGATCAAATGATGCTTGCCTTTTGTCCCACGCCCCTCTTAAACTACTCGCGTCTGGACGGGATCCTGATCCGTATTGAGTTTACTCTCGCGATTACTATTTATTAGATTATTTTAAGTTTTCGGACTTACTATTTGGTGAGGTCGAGCACCTTTTAAATGTAGTGTTCCCACCGCGGGTCGTTTGATGGAATGGTCCACACAGCCTCACGTGCCCCGGGGATGGTTAATGGGGTGAGCCTCCAAGGTATCGGTCCTGGGGTTGGTGCTGGTACTGATGCTGATGTTGGTGCTGAGACTGATGCTGTTGCTGATACTGTTGCTGATGCTGCTGCTGGTGTTTTTAAAAGTTTATTTTGCACCACTCGCGGCTTCGCTACGCACCCGAGCGGAAGTTTTCCCGTTTGTGCTGGTCGTACATAGTCTCTTAGCAACCGACGAATCTGCTCGCGTCTGCCCGACCGGTATTTTCGTACCTTTTCGGTGTTTCTCATCTACTGAGAGGGAAAAATTGGAATTTATAATAGTTTTAATCGGGGATGAATCTCATATCCCGTCTATCGTTATCAAGCTCGTGCAACCCTTTACGACCGCTGGTTTTGCGTCTATTCCTTTCAAAGCCGGCTTCAACGCCTCGACCCTAATCGGAATATCTGCTCTGCCTTGGATCGAAAAGAAGCTGCGTTAATCAAATCCGTAACTACTGTTTGGGAAAACCAGCTTCGACGCCTCGATCATAAATCAAAAAGATAGTTGGTTTAACTATAATTCATTCCTTTTTCCCTCTCCGAACGCGTCGAATGATTAGGGTAAAAAAAAAACTAATTGCAACATATGAATTTGTTAAATTACGTTACTGTTTGTTAAGACCCGCGCACGGTCTTTTATTATAGCAATTACAATTAATTACAGTTTGAATAAAAAGATTCACTACCTTAGCTTCGCAATAAAACTCAATGTCTGATTCGACTCGATAAGGACTCTAATTTTAGATAACTCGCGATGACTATCTAGTACGACAATTATACCCTTAAAATTTCGAACGGCAACTATACGCTTAAAATTTCGAACGGCAACTATCCCGAACCTCTGAATTGCGGGCGTACTTATACCCCTAATTCGGGACTTTTGGTCCGAAGGAAGGAGAAAAAATCATACCACGTGATTTATTAAAAATTCATGGGTGGTGGTTGATTTCTTCCCATGACGTTAGCAATAACATCTTGCCCGAAATCATCCCTAGGTGTTTAATCTACCCCTTATCGGTTTTTGGTGACTGACACCAACGATAGTCACTGCCGACGGTTCCTTAGTTGATGCTACGCTTGAATTCGTTGAAAAGATGCAAGGTCTCATTAGATCTGGCCACCCACCGGTGGGTGGTAACGAGTACTGAGAATTGTACGGGACCTGTAGCTGCGACTTAACATATAGGAGAACCGTTGTATTCTCGTGCGTCGCGATAAAGCAACCGAATCTACGGTTCGCGATAGTGAATAAGTCGCGATCGTACCGTGGTCGTATCAGGGGCACATGATGTAGCAAGAAGTATATCGCTCGCTCCGCGCTCGTAGCTGTTATCGCTTAGGTTCTCTCTTACTTGCTAAACGCTTCTCTGTCTAAGATATAGGGTTACGTTCGAATATACAAATACTACATCTGTCTTTAACTCATTACAAGGGAAAAATATGTCCGTGGTTTGGACGGTCGATATGCGAACGTCACACTAGCATCACCAGTCCTTAGATTTCCTTTTCTTACACCTTGTGTTCTCCACATATATGTACATATGATACTTACTCTTTTAGGCGATTTTCACAAATATAAAAATATGCGAATATCTTCTTATTACCTGTAATATTATAACATGGATAATTGGCAGAAATAAAACAAGTAGGGGTTGAAACGTTGCCGCGACGCATGGCGAGTATGTCATGAAGTCCGAGGCATCCGGCCAAACACAGTTTTGATGATTTTTCCCCGCGTAGACAGTACAAAAAAGTAAAAAAATTACGTCGAATACACAAAAAAGTGTGGATTTTAGAGAGGGTGGGAGGTTGTGGGATGGGTGGGTTCGTCCGAGAGGGATTTCAAGGGGTGCATTTTGTAGAGGGCATCAAGGAGAGTCGCCCCAAAGGTTTTTTTTGAATTTTTCAACCCCTTCCGTCATCCTTGGCCTGTTTCAAAGAGGCGTTTTTCTACACCCTCTCCCTTTAGGGGGTGAATTAACCCCTGCACGTCTACCCTCGCCAATGCAACTTTACTCACGCCTAGGGGACACTTCAAAAGTACTCCTCACGCAGTTTCATTTCAATCGGTTGAAAACTCCCATAGTTACGGCGGTTTGAACAAGTGTCCCGCTAATTGTTTGTAGTAGTGTAGAGATCCATATCACAAAAGTGTTTTGAATTTAAGCTTTTTATATAGAGCTTGTGGAACTGAAGAGAGCCCACAGGATTGGAGATTAACAAATTGCTGCCAGTAAAGTAAAATGTAGATCACTTTGGATTACAAGGTAAGTTGTCAAAATCTGAATTGCCAGATACCTTCCTTCCTTCCTTCATTTCCGCGGCCTAGAAATCAAATGCTTGTCGTGGCCAGGCAAGGCCAAGGTGTCGATGAATAAGAATTATTTTAAAACGCAAAATAATGAAAGTGTACTCGTATTTTCAGAGTTTTAAATTGACAAATTATCTGAAAGTCTGTGAGAGAGAAAGTATGGGTATTAATGATTTAAGAATGCGTCGCCTGGCTACGCCAAGCATTTTACTTCCAGGCCGCGGAAATCTAGGCAAATCATCTGGCAGCTTATTTCGATTTCACATCTTTTTCTATTTTCTTGTAGTTTTTTATGAGGATCTTCTGTTTTTCAATGATAACTCCTTGAGTCCTCCACTTTTTCATGTACTTGGCGTAATATTTGTACTTTTTTAAAGTTTTTTATCGGATCTCACTTCTTGTTACAAATATTTTATTATATAGAATCTATTTTACATTTATAAAAATAAAATTGATATTTCTGTAAACTCTACATAAATAGTCTAAATTATTATTTGTTTCTTTAATTGGATAGAGTAAAATAAAGGGAAAGGGGATAACAAAAGCGAATATATATATATTTCATATAATTTATTAATTATAAACACTTATTTGTTCAATTTATAAATAATTATATATACCTGCAAGTTTTTTTTTGCTGCAAAAAATTTTAATGTTAATGATGAAATGAGAAAATGACTCCATTTCTATAAGCTCTACATAAAAAGTCTAAATTGAAAACATTTTGCTGATATAAATATAATTAATAATGCAATAGTGTAAAAACTTTTGACACTTGGCAGGTTCTGAATGATGACATCTGTTTCGACTCTCGACGCTCGATGGCCGAATGATTCCGAGAGTCGACGAACGACATTCGGCTTTTGCTTAGCTCCAGGAAGTCTCATTGCAAGAAATTTATTAAAGAAGAAATGAGAAATGAATAAGAAGATCAACTATTTCTAACGCACAATTTTATGTATTAGAATACAGTTCATACGTTCACAGAACGTATGGCAGAAAGTCTTGTAACAAATTTAAATAATGAGAAAATGAGAAAATGAACAGAGATCCACTATTTGTAATAGATAATTGTATTCCAATAATATAGAAAAAGAGAGGTCAGACTTAGTCCTTTAAGTTCTCAAAAGTACGCACGACACATGGCAGAAAGTCTTGCTGCAAGAAACCAAATATCACAAATCCAAACTGAGTTACAAGTTAGAAATGAACGAGCGGCATGAGTGACAGCCATATTACAATTCCGACCGACGAGCTTTGCCGACTGATTCCGAGAGTCGACGAATCGACGAACGGCTTTAGCTCCTATTGGCTAAGTGTTGACGAAAAATTCCTTGTCAAATGAGAAGAAAAACGCTGCAGTTTTGACACGTTCATGATACGATATTACGATATCTATGTCGTTCTTAGACCGATTTTATTGATTTTGGTTTTATTCGAAAGCTTATGTGCGATTTACATAAGGAAATGCCTTTAGATTTAGAAAATACAGCAGGCGTGACGAGGTATTAATGACAGATGTTTCGGGTTAGGTTGGAATCGCGTTTTCTCGAGTAAAAGATGCGCGGTAGCGCTAGCGCCAGGCATATGGGGAGGCTATTTTTTCATGTAGTTGGCGTCGAGACGCTACCGCGTCTCTAGATTAACAAACGGAAACATTGTTTTTTTGGAAAACCCACCCCCAAGTTTAAGCTGCTCTGCAGGGTGAACGAGTAACCCCACGTCGACGCCGTTCACGAATAGTAAAGATAGGCGGATTCTAACTCAGGAGCTCCAAGGGGTAGAGGGGGAGGGGGAACCGAGGGCGAGTGGGGCACGAGTGGTGGGGGTCGGTAATTATTAGATACAGTCGGTAAGGTAGGATATAATTATTACCTACGGTCGTTAAGGTAGAGGGGGCACCACTGGTCGGTAATTATCAGAGATCGGTAAGAAAGAAGAACGCAAATGGTACATGTAACAAAATAAGCGCGCACGCTGTAAAGGAGGAGGAAACCATGCTCATCGTCTTCGCGGGAGGTAAGCTTGTACGTTGTAAGGGAAGGTAAACCGTCCCCATCGCGCGCAGTAGTGGAGGCGTCGTTGCGAGCCTCGCGGGTTCCCTCTCTCTCGCGCCCAAGTATTTTCTTCCTCACACTCATGCCCGCGTACACGCGCGACATATAACATTACATTACATTACAATCTCGGGTGAGAACATCTGCAACAATTTCTCAGATGTCGATGCATACTCATTCTGTTTAACGCTGGAAGATCTGTTTCAAAGCACGTTCTCGAATCTTCAGCGCATGATCCAATATTTTTTACCGTGCAACATGTAAGATTAGATTGCAATCTTTGACACAGCCATCGGTAGGAGTATCTCGCGATGATGGCCTCGAGCAGAAGATCCAAAAACGCACGCTCGAGAGCTAGCCCCTTCATAAGGGAGCAGTTCCACACATCGGAGGACGATGAAATTCGCTATGTTTGTTCTTGATACGTTAAGGATGAATGCCGAAAAGGTCCCATTTCGAAAACTGCCCCCAGAGCTGAAGGGAGGGGGGCAGAGGTAGGGGTGGTCCACTCCAAAGTGTATGGATTGGAACGTTGTTTCGTTACGTGGATCACGTGTCCAACAGTCCAGGGCATCGGTCCGACACAGTTTTCATGTCCTTTTTGCGCGTGAACGGCAATAAAATTCGAAAATGTCAATTTTTGTAAAAACTCGCTTCCAACTTCAGGCCCATCTGCAGGGTGAACCAGTAACTCCACGTTAAGATCCCCCAAAAATCAGATTTTTTTAATCACGCTTTTGTTGCCAAATCGGAGTAGATTTGAAAGAGTAGTAAGTGGGTCGGCATTCAGTCCCGTTTTTTTTACGGCTAGTTTATGTGTGAGTCTCAATCTTGGCAATGCTGTCGTCAAAGATCGATTCGCCTTCAATGTTTAACGTATTAGCAATTTCGTACAACGAAACCCAACGATTTCAGAAATTCAACATTCGATGCAATCAGCTTCGCAGGTGTTTGAATTGTCTTCTCGCCCAATGGTTTTAAACAGCCAATATTTGATACAGTGAGTTTCGCAGGCGATCGAATTGTTTTCGCTTTGTTTTCACGTGTCGTCTGCCCCGCTTCGTTCAACACAAGCATCTCCCACTATGGCCGTTGTCTCCGTACATGCAGTCGAACGGTGATCTGCTCCCCCCGAAAATCTAACAATTGACCGTCTTGATCCACGAGGCGAATCGTCAAATCCGAAATGCTTCGTGCTGTGATCGGAAGGTAAATGATCTGTGTGGGTTTTTCCGATATCTTATATCCAGGTGGAACGGTAGGCGAAAACTCGTGTATTGTGTGCACGCTCTTGTTATTGCTGTAAGCACCAGCCGTCACGTTGCATTCAATGCGAATAATATTCACATTCATTATATTGATTGGCACATCCGATTCGTGCCATTTTCGCGGTTGCAGCAACCGATTCGCCGAAAACCCCAGCAACGAGCCAATAGTATTGGGTTTGGTAAAATTAATGCTGTAATCGAACTTGATTTCGCTCTTCATTGTATTGTTGTTAGCTCTAAGTATCAAGTGGTTCCCCTCATTACTCTGCGAAAGCGATCGTCGCAAATACATGTAAATGTCATCCAGCTCGTAAGATCCTTCCGGAATAATGATTTCCTTATCATCGTTATCGTAGTAAAATTTATTATTCGACAAATTTACATTCGGTATCCTGTAATAAGTCTCAAAGTCCGTAAGACCGAGCTCGTAATCACCATCGCTCAGATCAATGGCCGGAAAATAGCTTAATGCGAGAATGCTACCCTGGTTGGTGAGCGTTAACGTCAGCGACATGTTCAAACGAATACTGGAGTTAAGGTGTGCAATGACTGGCCTTAAATTGATTGTCAACCGTCTGCAGAAACTGCAAACATAGCTGTCCGCAATTGCTCTGATTATAGCGCTGATAAGGCCCGTGATTATACTCGATTACGCTATTCTTGAAATACTGTATCAGTTCCCTCGGCGGTTGAAGATTGCCAAAACTATCGAAATATATGGTGCGAGTTCTCCGTTTTGCGTACGCAACCCAATGAGTACCAGGTCCCTCGAAAGTATCCAAATTTACGATTCCGCTTTCGTTCCTGTGTATCCCATCTGTTAGTAAAGTATTGCGCATAAAAATATCCCTCAAATATGGAATACGCATACGCTTTGCCAGATGCTGTAGTTGTACGTTGGTGGTTACACCTTCGGGCATTTTAATTTTGGCGTTTCTTTTTTTTCTTTTTGAAACTCCTCGTCCGCGTTTGCACAGCACGAGATGTACTCCGCGACCTTCCATAGCACTGTTACATATGCACAACCGTTCTTTTCGAAGCTCGCGTTCATTTATTTTATCTACCCCCTGGAATGTGGAGTCTAGTTTTACCGAAGGGCACCCTGCAGCTGTACCATACTTTTCTCAGAATCATCTTTTAACTCGCGTTGCGTGGGTAACCATTTATCTAAACTTTCCCTAAAGCCCTACAGATGTTCACCTCTGAGTAACGAAAATCTCAACCGCCAAATTTCCATATATGGGAATCACTGACGATTCCCCACCAATATCTAGGGGTATATAAACCCTTGATTTTCATTACTCGCGGGATTAATACGGAAGAGTTACTTGGTAAAGTCACGTCGATCGTCTTTAGAGTTGCGCTTCAGTGAGACCGGGCTTTAGATCCCTTTCGATTAACAGTAACCATATAGATCCGCGAGGACGGTACAAAATCTATTACGGCATAGAAGCATTCTCGACCCCCGCATCGCCAGTGCGTTAACACCGTGCAACAATTAGGTAATTAAATTCATACACTAACCGCGACAACACGACACTGTACAATTGTATTATTAGAATTATTCAGTTTGGAACATATAATCATTTGTTAACCTTAAAAGGTCTGTTAAATCGTTATTAAACCTTCACCATTGGAATAAGCAATCCTAAGCAGTGTAACGACCCCACAACATAATAACTTTACCGCTCGAGTTATTATTTGTTTAGGATTAATAGTTGTGTTACGTCCCAGCTTATCTGAGACTCTTTTTTGGGATCTTTGTTTTCAATTAAAGAGCTAAAGCTCACCTTAACTGTATTCGCTAACGGGAAAGAGCAATTCGGGATTGCAATGATTGTTTCCAAGGTTTAGCATATAAATATATATTGTTACAAAATAACGAGTTTATATTACAATATCGGTTTTGGGAAATCAAGTATAAAATTAGTCAGGTACGTTACCGCTTGTCGGTCTTACAGTTTGGTTGTACCAGCTATCTGTTGTGGTCCCAGGGCTGTGATGTTGCAAGGATCTGTTTATTGGCAACTATCACTCGCGACACGGGTCGCTACTAATTAACAACGGACTTTCCTCGGTAACGACGCGGCGCGCGTACGATTACTTTATCCGTGACTACAATAATTTAGTATTTGATGACCAAAGCGCGACGCTGAGTGCGTGTTCGATTGACGATAAAGGTTCAATGTGATCTTAACCGATTATACGTCAGACTTTCGTAGGTAACGACAACGCGTGAAGTTAACCTGTCCGCGACTACAAGATTTCAGTAATCACCACGATGAGAACGTACTGACAGCGGAATAAAAAAGAGCCCCGTGGGGCGTGTCCACGGGTTTATATACTAGCTGATCCTCGCATGGCACGAGCTGCGTTCGGGAACCTTCGTTTTTGCATCCGTTGAAATCGGGAGGAATCCCAAGTTCAGCGGATGTGCTGGCGTTGAGTGCTGACGCCTATTTCGCTGATTCGCAGATCCCACGATTCGGTTCCCGAGAAACGGTTTCCGAAACGTGCGTCAAGCGCATTCCTAAAAGTATCTGATCCTAACTCTTCGCAATGCGAGGTCGATGAAAAGGGACACCGGCAGGGCCGGTCCAGCCGGGGCATCCGGCCAGGACACGGCGAGGGTAGCCGCCATCAGGGCGCCCCTGTCCAATCCCTTGAGCGCCCATCTGCGCGGCGGCCGACCAGGCGCGTGTCGGCGAGCGGAATGGTCCCGCGG